AGTTTAAAGTCTATTTTTCCTACAAAACTGACTATAGGTATGCCGGTCTGACTATAGGTATGCCGGTCTGACTATAGGTATGCCGGTCTGACTATAGGTATGCCGGTCTGACAGAACAGCAGTTTCCCTCTGCTAACGTCGCAGACTGTAATTATATCACCATAGGGAGTGTCAGATTTCCTTAATTAGTTTTGTCTTTAATTTTACAGTAAAATGAACATTTCCTACTGGGAGGATTAAAGCTTTATGATTAACTTTGTTCATATTTACATTTGAGTAACAGTTTGGATTTATTCTCCTTAAATTATTAGCTGGTATTGCTATATGCATACTTAGCCCCCAAAGACGAAACAAACAGGCCAAACTAGTTCAAACAAATCCAGTATAAACAGACCAGTGAAACCAGCACTGAAGAAGGATGATCTTTAATGGTTCCTGTCAGAAGTTCTTTCCTCCTCCCTCATTGGGTCTTCAGATTTAATTGGACTTTTATCTCCTGATGCTTTAACATGTTCAGGTTCCACGTTCCTTACCGGAGAACCCAGCGTCTGGTTCGATCACTCTCTGCATAACTGTCCACAGACTCAGACACGGTCGGGTCAGAACCAGTACCCCACTGAACCGTTACTCTGGTTCCTGTTTCCATGGTTACCTGGAGTTTAATTAGAACCCCTGCAGAGCTTTGCTTTTCTATCGCCGCTGTGAAACGTCGGCACCAAGTTCTAACGAGATTGAACCCGTCGCACCTCTTTGATCTGAGGGATGGGGTCGGTTCTGATGGCGGGCATCATGTCAGACGCGCGCACGGCGCCGTGCACGGTCGCAGTGTGAGAATCACGGCCAAGTCTGTGTGACTGCAGGGGAGTGTATAAGAGCTGCGGGGGAGGGGCTATCCTATAGTGGTGGTTACCATGGAGACAGATCCTCTGCAGCATCCGAGCAGTGCTGTCGCTATGGTGACATCCTCCAGAGGGAAGGGGGAGGGGCGGGGGGGTTTATTGATCCATACCCAGTTATTGAGCAGATAAAGTTATTGATCATTTGCTGAGTTATCGATCAGATGCAGATTGATTGATCCCAGCAGGCTGAGGAGGAACATCAGACCAACATCCCACATCAGCAGCGTCACGGCAGCCTCAGCTGACCTGAGCTGAACTCTGCAGATCACACCAGCGGCTCTTCGCCAACACTATCAAAGAAAGATCCTCTATTGTCCCACAGTGGGGATGCTCACCCCACCGTAAAAATAACAAATTAGAAACCGGACAGTAAGAGCAAATTAAGAAAGTAGGAAAAATACTGGAGAGATTTCATGAAGAGCACTTGAGGGATTTAAAGAAGTGTTCTACTGGGTGTAAGAAAAATCTGTTTACATACAGAGAAGAAAATAAGTATTTGAACACGCTGCTATTTTCCAACTTCTCCCAATTAGACCTCATGGAGGGGATGAAATTATCATCATAGGTGCATGTTCACTGTGAGAAACATAATCTAAGCTGGCTTCTTCCTGGCGGCTACCCCCCCGGGCCCGGTCGGGGCTCCTCCCGAGGGTCCATGGGTCTCCGGGGCCCATGGCCGGTTCCACTTCAGGGTGGCTGTCTGCTGGTTGCTCGTTTGCGCGGTTCCTGGAGGCTTCAGCATTGTGGTTGCTGGGGGGGGGTCCTCTGGGCCATCTCTCCTCCTCCCTTGGTCTTGGGGTCCCTTTGGGCGTCTGGGGCTTTGGGTTTCCCAGCGCTGGACTCAGTGCTCTGGGGGGGCGCCTCTTTGGCTCTTCACAACCACCATTGAGCATTTTTCCTTTCCATGCACAACTGCACCCTCACAAACACCTACAGGTGTTTGGTTCCAGGCACTCAGAGATTCACTTCCATACAGAAAGCCCATATTCTGATCTTCAGGTAACACAGAGTACATGTCAGATTAAATAATACTAGTTATACTTCAGCGATAGTATCTTTATTGTATCTCTTATATCCGTTGGTTGTGCTGTTCTGTTTCCATCTCTTTGCAGGCGATGAAGCAGACTGAGGATGTTTTATCGTTATCTTCCTTTTATCTCCTCTTTCTTTCATCTTTTCTCATTTTTTCTGTTTTTCCTTTTCTGTTCTACTTACATTGCAGTGTCCATATATTCTGTAAAACTCTTTTTTTTTTTTTTTTTTTACAGTGTCCTGTCTGGCAATGTGGCAATAAGAATAATTGTCTTGATGCCAAAAAAAGTCCAACAGATTTTGCTTCACTGTAATAAAAAAAGAAAAAAAAAATTTTTTTTTCTCTTTTTAACCAATTTTCTGTCAAGCTGATAGTCGGTTCTGTGAAAAAAATCCCATCAGATCAGTCGGTTCTAAAACATTCGGTCAGCCGGTCTGGTACCGACGTTCACGCTATATTTCAACCCCCTCCATCTGAAGCAGGACCAGACCTGATAACGCTGCCATCCGATTGGCTGACAGACTCCAGTAGAACCAGGAAAGCTCACTTTGGTCCAGTTAAAAGATCCGTCGTTGGATTTCTCTAGAAACTCTGAGTTACTCTGAGGTTCCAACTCATTAAGGAAGAGGAAAAGTGTCTTCAGCCTTCTTTAGAAGGTGGGAGCCTCTCTGGATCCATCATGCCTCTGAGCTTCTCGTTATCTCAAAGCTCTGTAGGCCTGGACTGTGGGGCCCCTGAGGGCCCCCTCCTACACAGCAGCTCCTCCTCACGGCTCAGATCCAGAAAACATGCATCATTCAGACATCAATAGCTCCTGAGGTCAGATGGTCAAAAGTCGCTGGAGTTTACGTCTCTGCAGCCTTGATTGAACCACAGATGAAGGAAATTTTCATTCCATTTATTCATCATTTACAGACGTTGGCTTAGAACAAAGTAAGGCCGTAGATTTCCATTTCCAAGGAAAGGTTGAAATTAAATTTCACTGTATAATGAACTTTAATCATAGATTAACTTCATTTAATAATGATCCTATTCAAAAATATTTGATTAATACCAAAACTAAATTAGACGTAGTAGTAACTCATGTTTTTTAATCCATTTGTTGTAGATGTTGATAGAAGTGGGCAGATTGTCCATCTCTGGTGCGTTTGGACTCCTCCCAGTAGATCTGCTGAACATGAGGCTGGTTAGGATGCAGCTGTGCTTTAGAAAGGGGAGTTATTACTGTGGAGCTCATCCTTTGATAAATCAGAATTATTGCAGCATTCACATTCTCTGGTTTTTATTTAACAAATATTTTTAGCATGGATCTTAGTTCATCTTTTAAGAATGCGGCTCATAACAGGAGGAACTTCTCTACAGGTTTAGATGATGATGCACGATATAATGGTCCCCCTATCGGTATCGGCCTTAAAACTGAATATCGGACATCGGCCACCCCACCGATATTTAACCCGATATTTGATCAGCTTCTGAGTTTCTAAAGTCTAAAAAAAAAATACTACTTCTTCTTCTTCCTCAAAAACTTCTTTTTTACAGACTTAAAAACTTCTAAAGACGAGGGAAAAAATATTGATACATTAAAATATCAGAATATCTTCTGTCGTGGGAAAAAAGTATT